CCCCCCCCCCCCCCCCCCGAACCAGTCAATTCATTTTTTGTTCACACCCTCTGGCTCAGTTTCCTAGCATAGATTTTAAGCTCACATTTCAACAGTGAAGGAAAGCTTATTTTAGGTTTGCTTTCTGCAAGCCTTGATGCCAAAATTGACTTGCAAGACTGGTATCCAACCAAGAAAAGGAAATAGCATCATGTGATTTAACCAAAAGTAGAGCTAAGTACAGTTTAAAATAATAAAACCACAGAGTAAATGACATTCATAAACTTCACATAATTTCCAGGTAAAATTGGTCAAATTATATTTGCTTGGTTCTAACAAGTACAAAGATACAAAGCAGATTTTGGAGCCTTCCTGTTTCACAAATAGAAACAAAAGTTTCTTTGGTGTCTTATCTTTAAAATATGCTTAGTAGGTTCTTCAACATAAATGGCTCGGAATAGAATTTGTCTGGCACTGAAATGTAAGAAAAATGATTAGAGCAGCACTTTGCATTGAATTTCAACATTTTCCTGTATAATCAGTTTTTCATGGGTCTGAAGTAGATACATACCTCAAGCTGTACATAGTATTTTGCCTTGAGTTCAAAGTAAGGCCTGTGGAAAAACAAAGAAGAACTTGATACAATTGCTGAGAAGCACAGAAAAGCTTGTAGTGAAAGCTACTTAGACCCACAGTGTTAAAGCAGTTATGACAGATGCCAGCAGTTTAATCTGAGATTGCCTATGTAGACTAAACACCCACATTTGTGATTTTTTGTAATGCTTCTTAACAAGATCATTATCCTAAATACTATGTGCTGGAGTCTGGACTTCGTATGTCTGGACTCTGTAAAATACTTAAGCACACACCAACCATAAGGAACAAAGTGTCTCATTAGAGACATATATATAAGTACCTTGCAGAATCTGCGCCTCAAGCTCAATACACCATTTCAGATTTGTTTTTTCCTGGCAATTCTTTAAACATCCCCACAGGTCTCTGACTTTTCAGGAGTTTTTTTAGAATGCTTACGAACAAGACAAAGGTCTGCCCACACCTAGGTGGCTCACAAGGGAGGGATGCAACTAGTATCACACCCAGCCACCTTTGACTCTCCAGCCCAAGTGACATGTGTCCACTAGCAGCTTATGTAGCAAGTCCCAAGTGAAGCTCAAACTTGCACATCTGGACACACTCATTTTAGGGCCATTGTGACCCTAAAATGCTAATGTTAAAGTATGTTGCATTGCTAAAGTATGTCCAGACTGCAGGAAGGATGTAGGCGTCCAACTGCACGTCTCTCTCCAGCTGCATGGTAGTCCAATACTTTTTGTTCAGCCAAACAACAGAGAGGAGCCATACATAAGCCATTTCTTCCTTTAATCTGCAGAATTTAATAGTGTCAGGAGACTACAAGGATATGAAGGATGCAGTTTAAAGCCAAGAAAAAGAATTCTAGCCTAAAGTGTTACAGGCTGCGAACCATCAACGTGTTGACATTACACAGAGCAAGAATGAAACCATTTTACTCAACTGTAATATTGCTTCCAGGCACACACACATTTCAGGACCTGCCTCAAAAATCTAGGCAGTCAACAGACACGTAAATCTTCATATATAAAATCAGGGCTTCTACCACCCCTTCTCCTTCCACGTCTGAAGCTGGATTCTGATATATGTTTTCTTAGCAAGCAGCACCCCTGCAATGTCTTGTGAAGTAGCATGCTACTGAACTCAAATCCCTCAGGGTCTGGTTTTCTACTAACAGACATAAAGCTCTGCTAACCCTGCTTTACAACTTAAGCTCATCTAACAAACCTCACCTGCATTAAAAAAAACAACACACTCCTATGCCACAGTCGTATCTAATGCTTTGCCGCGATGCAATGTAGTTTTGTTGTGGGTGCCTACATGTCATTGTGCTCCATAGCTACTATCTGTAATCCAACCACCCACCCTCTTAATATCACACTGACGTAGAAAACATCCTTCTTCATTAATATTTTTGGACATTGCATCTCTCTACTTCCTACAGTGGATTGTTTTCCTGCTTGGTAAGCTCAGACAGGCAACTTCATGTGGCACTACTTCTTCTTTATCATGGCTCCAATCCACTCTTTCTGTATGGTCTGCTCCCAATATTCTGCACAGGCCACTGCTTCTGGTGTTGATGTTGCCAAATCTTGTGGGGTGCATTCTGGTGCTACAGGACATCTCAGGAGATGATCCATAATTCGCTTCTTCTAACAAACACATTGGTCGGTCGTGTAGAGGCATGGGTGACTAGTGATGCCTTAGTCAGGGGCCGTGGCACTTCATCTGGCACTCCCACTCCCTGGCTGGCACTCACAGAAGAGGCCCCAGCGCTCCCACCTGCCCCCCTGCCCATCGCCTAAGTGGGGAGCATGGCCTGTCAGAGATGCACCGGCACTCACAGGGGGTGCACGTGTACCCCCGTGCACCCCGTAGGCATCACCAATGCGTAGAGGCCCCATGATTTCATGAGAAAGTTGCATCTGCCAAGACCCACCCTTAATCTATTCAGGCTCTGCCACATGTGCCATCTGTAACTGGAGCCAGATGCTAACTCCTCACAGTGGGCAATTCCTCGCCAGTTCCATCCAACAACTTAGAATTTGTGAGTTTATGCATAATGTTGTTTTGTGTGTTGACCTTGGTTTTGGTATTTAATATGTGCTTTTTGTAACAAAGTGTATGGTCCAGTGTTACCACTAAGTAGACCAGGTGTTTCTGATGTTTGAGACTCTGGTCACCTCAGGTGACATTCAGGTGTCATTCCACATCCTAGTGCCTCAGATGAAAAGAGCAGGTTTGGGGTTTGCTAGGGTTGGGTTTGAGCTAATTATTTAGGGAATAATCTGACATCTCGTTCAGTGCGCTCTCCAGGATCTTCTCTGTGTCCTCAAAATTCTTCTGCTGTGTGCCAATGCAGAGATCGTCAGCATAGATGAAACGCTGACATTCGGCAGGAAGTGGGTGATGGTTAATGTAGATGTTGAATAAAAATGGGGCAAGCATACTGCCTTGTGGCAAGCTGTTCTTTTAGGATGTGTGGAGCTAACTGCCCAACAGTGGAAAAAGCAGTTCACAACCTGGTTCCAGAAGTCATTCCTGTCCATGTAGCCTCCCTCAGGTAACTCATTTTCCAAAGAATGAGATTATGTTTCACAGAGTAGGTTTTGGGAGATCTACATACAACCTTACTTCAGAATAAAGGTTTCAACATCTGAGATTCCAGGTTCTATACTGATATTAGGCTACAAAAAGCAGTTTAGTCAATTTGCTATATTCTCCACTATTGTAAGAGAGCACCCTGCTAGCACATAGGCTGACAATATAACTTATGAACAATTAACACTTTAAGTATATTGATATTACTTTAAGTATATTGATACCACTGAGTGAATTGTGTGACTTGATTATATGCTTATGCTAAGACCTAGGTCCCCAGTCCTTTGAGACTAACCCAAAGAACCAAAGGCCTAATGAGCTTCTGACCTTAGTTGGCATAAAAAAAGTGCATGTTAGAAAGTAGTAGGAAAAGCAGTAATTTTTGGACCAGTATTGATTAACAGTTCAAATGCAGAGAGTAGAATCCCAAGAACCGGATCCCTCCCAATGTTAAATTTTGTTTAGTTCCAAGGTTTGGTGTAGGTCTCTGGGGTCCCAGGACAAAGAAGCCTCCTTAGTTCCCCAGTATGTTAATTAGGTCTGTAAACACTATTTTTGGAAGCAGACTGATAAAGCAAACAGGACTGTTAATCTCTGCATGCAGTTACCCCAAAGAGGAGATAGGAAAAGAAAAAACTTGGTAAGAAAGTTTTTGCTCTGTATTCCTGTGCTTGTTTATTCCTTTGTTTTTGATTTTATGCTGAAGCAATCCCTTTCTATTAAGGGTGTCTGAACAGTCTCCTTTGTCTTTTAAATAGACAAATTGCAAAGGAATGAATTTGACCCAGATGATTACCTGGGCACTGCCCATGTGGTCCTTCCTGTGAGCAACATGCTCCAACTTAACTCTTAGTCTCATGGACTTTAGGAAATCTCAGGTCTTGGAGAGGGTGTGTAAGGAGAGGAGGGACTAGTCCCTTTCATATTATTTTGTGTGTGATGAACTATGATTTTTTCAATACACAGAACATGCAAAACACCCCAGTGATTTATTATACAGTCTCACAACAACCCTGTAATGCGGGAAAATGCTTTTGTTTCCATTTTATAGATCAAGAACAGCAGGATAGCGAATCTAAGCAATACAGCCCAGGTGCTGGTCTAACCTCCAGCCATGTCAACAGAGAAGCACACTGAAGGCTGTGAGAAGAGACAGAGACAGTTACATCTGCCCTGTGGGTAGATGGAAACAGAAAACACAGAAGGGAAGTAGGAGGTAGTTCTTTTAGGGTCACAGATAAAAAGGGAAGATGGACAACATCAACGCATGGAACATGTGCCAGTATGATAATATATAAAAAAAAACTGAAACCAAACAGTTCTCCAATTTGCACACCTAACAGAAATAGGACTCTTCAAGTCACACTTAATTGTGTTAGAAAACATCCTGCAAGGTGCTGTCTGGTATTGGAAAAAGGGTCTATGTGAATTTTGTAATCACAGATAAATAAGAATTATGAGACTAATACTCTCAACAGCCAATATACTGAAACTACCGGACTGGATTTTAAATAAAGTATTTTAAGTAGCTAACAGGAAGCTCAAGACACTTTATCAAATTCAACAGAGTAGAAAGTTACTTCCAAAAGGTGGCTAACCCAGTTTATTAGCAAGTTTATTATCATTTTAGCCTGAGGCACTGGGCCATGAACTCTAGTTGAATGAAATAACTATTTGCTTGCCCACATGCCCATACATTTTCAAATGGTCAACTATTACTTGAAAACAAAGCAAAAAAAAAAAAACCCAGCTCAGTCAAATCTTCTAGATGACACTCCTCAAAGTTACTACTGCCCGTATCTTGATTATTTTTTTTTAACAAACAATCCTTGCACATCTCAGTTCAGGTAGGAATAAGGACAACCACAGTAGCTTTTAAATAGGGACTGGGAGAGGGAACTCTTTCAACATTTCCTCCACATGGGAAAATTTTGGATAACTGTCTCATAAAAATAAGAACAGCTATCCTCTCTAGGCTGTATGAAGCTCATATGGGATGTGAGGTGATGTTCCAATTCTATAGACCCTACCTTTGTATCACTAAGAAAGGAGTGTCGGGAAGAGAAAACTGAAGATAGCAAACAGTTCCTTTAGCACAACCATGGCTAGCACTTCATAAAAACCATGAGGAAGAAGTGGTTTTATTCCCAATTACTCCCCATACGGCACCAAACCCCCAAGGCCAGGTACACTTTTACCGAAATAAGTGATCAGAAACCTGTCTATACCCGTAACAGGACAGAAGTTCAGCATACAGACTGATTTAAAAATGGCAGAATCCAGTCTAAGATTTGTTCCCCCGCCCCACTGAAGGGCAAACGTAATATATTGTTCACTACCGATCTAAACTATGCCGCTTACAGAAAACCATGTTACTTCGATTGATTCTGCCTCGGGCTTTTTAAATGTCTGCACCTAGTCTCTATCATGAATCTGCTATTTTAAACAACCACTTTACAATACTAAAGATTTCATCTCAGTCCCAAATGATTTTTAGATGAAGATGTAAATTGAGCTAAACAACTGATCAACTTTCAAATAGGACTACATAAGACGTCTGCTCCACCCCATTAAATTGGTTTCACTGCGCACTCTTTTGATTCATCTGCACTTCTTATTACATCTTTCATTGGAGAAGCTCAAAAGTCTGCTATATTTAGCTTTAACGACTTTGTAAGTTGATAAGGAATATATACAGACCACTCCCCTCCCCAGAGAAACTGTAAGCTCTGAGGTGAACTGTTACAGAACATACTATCCCCACATGCAATAGCTTGGGCAGGAAGTGAAGAGATCATATCCATTTGACATTGTAAGGTGAAGCAAGGGTAATGAAACAAACCCTAATCACCAAGCTAACTACACTTATGCAAAAGATCTGGTGCTGTGAGTTTAGATTTATACCCATCTTATTCAAAAGAAAGCATTTCTGGTAGCAGGATGCCCTATCACTGCTCTGATGATTTTCTCACCCAAGGGAGAGTCACCAACTGAACTGATGAATACCAGTAATTCTTGCAAAATCTATGGAACTCTTTCTATCCAAATACTGGAAAAAAGCTGAATGCTTCTTAATTTATAAAATCATAAAAACAGTAAGGTGACAAGGCTCTGCTGACATCAAACAACATTTTGGAGCGACCATCTATTTTGATGGTTCTTGAAGTGCTAATCCTTTTACTAACTATACAAAAACGGTAACAAAAATTGATACAAGTCATTTTTAGAGTGAGGTATTAAACATTAAGCAAATGAGTCAGACAAGTTACGACTTGGAAACACTCACTGGAGATTTAAAAATACAAGATAGGATTATAATTAGTTGGAGACAGAAAAAAAACACTTTAAGCAGACTGAAAGCAAATATTATAATATGTGACTTTTCTACCCTACCAACAAATATACATAGACATCTATGCAACAGAATAGAACCACACACCAAAGGAAGAGGCATTTGATCACTGCACTGCTTATTAGCTATGCCCTCTGAAGTGTCTTCCTTTCCACAAGAAAAGCTCTTGCATGGCTTGCTAAGAAAGATTGAGTAAACAAGTCTGATGTACAATATGCAGAGCCGATGCAGCACTGCACCTCTGAAGTTTGTCAACAGCCTCACTGCTTTCCTAACCAAAATACAATTCTATGGCACGATATGCTGGGCTCTGACTTGGAGGCAAACTAAAACATAAGCACAGGGGGCTCTGCGTAGCCTCATGGTAGGTTCAGTACTGACAGAGAATCCTGTAAGTGATGCACAGAGAGCATACTGTGCAAGCAGGCTCAGCATTAAAAGGCACCACCAACTGTGACACATACTTAGATTTATTGATGGCCCTTTTCAGTTTTTTCTCCAGCTGTTTCATCCGACCCATGGCAGCGTTGTACTTGGCTGCAGTCTCCTTGTGCACCAACTCACTTCTTGTTTTCGTCTGCTCTGCCTCCATGACCTTCAAGAGAAAAAAAAAAAAAGATAAGCATATGCTTATCCCCTTCATATCAATTGTAATTAACAGTACTTCCATAACCTCGTGCAGCAGAGTGCAGCTGGGGGTGGGGGGTAGGATACAGTAGAAACCAAGTCTCTTGTCAATTAATCTACTTTGAAAAGTTTTGGAAGGACCTGCAGCACGTCTAGTTAACAAATACAATATTAATGACAGAAGCAGCTTACTGTTCTAGCTAAATGTATTCTGGTTGACGTTGCTTATCTCAAACCTCAAACCTCCCCATTAGAGCTCAGCATCTCCTCAATGATCCTTAGGTGCTTATGACTGGCTTTCACTAGCTCTGCCAGCTAGGCTTTACCTTTTCACAAACCTTCTTCTGGCTGGGGCAGTACTATAGAAGGGCTCACAGCCCCAAATACTGAACATCTCAGGACTACTCAAAAGAGTGAAGAGCTGCAAGTAGGTCCATGAAAGAGGGTCTCTGATCAATTTTAGCTTATCCATTGTCCTCAAGTAGCCAGCATCCAGCCAACCAATAGCCCATCCATTGCTGCCATGCCATCAATTGGAAGCTCACTTCCACATTAGTGCCATCGGCCAGCTTCAAGCCATATTTACAGAAAATAGTAGCCATTCAAATGATAAACTGACACCATTTCTGTCAGGGCACCTATAAGACTTCTGAACAGGTAGGAGCCACCATGAATACTGCCCTACTAACTGGATGGAGACACACACACATACGTACACACACACATGCGCGCACAAACAGATTAAGCACATTACATACCTCATGGACAGGTCTCAGTTCCTGTCCCACTCAGGCAGGCAGTCTTATGTCTTGTACACAAGTCAGCAAATTGTTCAGACAAGCATTGATTTAAAGTTTTATAAATAATAATTACTGCCTTGGCCCCTTACAACTAAAACAAGATTTACAAAAAAAAAAAAAAAAAAGAAAAGCCAAATGTGTCTTCTGTTGCTATGGGTGTTCAACTACATGTGCTTTTGCAAATCTGAAGAGCCCACAGTTGCAAGTTAGGATGCCTATTTCTGTTTCATGGTCCATAAAAACATTTTTTTAATTATGAAGAGAAGCCCCAGCCAGGTCCCAGCCAAAGAGCAGACTCATTTGTTTAATACTCTGAACATTGTTGTCTTGTCTCTCATTCCCAACATTTTAGCAACTAGCTGCAAGAGCTCTCACTGTGCAGGTGATTTTTAAGCTCTCCCACTCACAACAGAGCAAGTATTATTACAAAATATGGCTTGAGTCAGCTGTCTCCAATACCCTGTTTCCAGAAGTTCTGGATATGTATAGCTCCGATTACCTTCTATTATTTGAAACATTCCAACACCTGCAGCTTACCTTATCAGATCAAAGTAAGTCTTATCTCAGGAAAGATGAAATGCAAGCACTCTGGTTTTCAAATCATGTTAGTCTCATCATCATTGTTCTATTCTCCTGTGAGCAAATGAGCAGCATCCTTCAGTCTGAGCCTAGCAATTAAAGTGATATTCAAAACATGGCGAAAGGGACATAGACAGTTTACGGAAGCCGATTGCCTTTTACTTTCCATTACATTGAGGGTAAACTTACTGCCTTTGTAGCTTAAAGACTAAAATTATAATACCCCGAGTAAAACAAGAGTTCTCAACCCTGTAATAACTAAAAAACATGTTCCACTTGTCTGAATGCCCCAATTATTCTGCAATAAAAATATATTGCAGAACCCTGCAACCTACAAAGATTACCATTAAAAAGCAATTTGATTATATCTGAAGGAATATATCCTGCTCCGGTGCTCCTCAACTGCCTTTGTGTATAAATAAGACTCCCATCTTTTGAGGAAAGCTCAGTATTTATAAGACATTCACAAGAGATTTTGCTCTACATCCTGCAAATTAGCTAATCCCTCTCTTACTCTCAGTTTGAACAACTGTTAGAAAACTATAACGATACAATGATGTTTCCTAGAGGTTGCATCTGGCTCTAGTGAGGAAGTATCTAAATTAAGATGTGCAATCCCATAAGATGACAGCACGGCTGGTTTGCTTTCCTTAGTGCATGACAAAAAAAAATTAAAATTTAACTTTTGCTAAAAGCTCTCAAGCAATGGAGCTGCTTATTCCTTGATGTTCCAGAGTTGACTGAATGCCATATGATTCTTCTTTGGAAGAGTTTTTGGTAACTGCTACTGCTGGCTTGCATATCTAGACTTAAAGGTTCCAACTCATGGTATGATGAATGTTGCAAGCCCAAGGCCCAGATTCTCAAGAAGTAAATACACCAAGAGGTAAAAACATCTAACATCTAACTCTCATTTAAATCAAATACTTTGAGAATCTAAAAGTATCTAAAGTGGACATCCACTTGCAAGAAGCTTTTAGGTTTTGAGAATCAGTGGCTATGTCAACATGACACATTGACTGTGGAGTTGCTACTACACAGTCATTCAGTACTTGCATACCCACAAAACTCCCTGTGCTTGTGTTTTTGTTTGCCTCCAGCTCAGTGCCCAGAATATCTAAGAGGCGTTGGACAAACTCGGCTTCATGGTGATGCTGACTGCGCAGTAGCTCATTACTACTGCGCAGTAGCATCGCGTCACAGTTCGTGCCCTCCGACGCTACTGCGCAGTAGTAACAACCTACTGCCAGTAAGCATCTCATGTAGATGCAGCCACTAACTAAATAACAACTACCCCAAAATATTCAGAACATTCTACATTTATTTCCCCTCTGTTAATCCAGTATAGTAGTTCAAGTGTCTGTTTCTTCAAATCCTTCTAATTTCAGAAAGAAATTACTTGTGGAACAGGAAGAACTTCCTCTTCCTTGCCTTGTTTTTGTCTTTTTTGGTTGTTTTTTAGGCATATTATTTTTGAAAGGTGCCAAATTGACAGCCCTGAAAATTTACATTCTCCCTCCAAACAACAGGTACAAGACAGACAGAAGCCCTAGAAGTAACCCCCCGCCAACTAAAGCACCTCTAGTCCTGGCCTGGGAAAGAAGACTTCCATGAGGAAAAGGATCATAAAATAAATAAATTAATAAATAAATAAAATGTCCATTTAACTCTTGATTTCTCCAGGACTGCCAACCAAGATGTGCTTGAGTATTCAATGTGGACCTCTGTTTACTTGGAACTAAAATTAAGATTGCCAACTAATCTCATAAATTACTGAACTGCCTGCAATGGGGGACTGTTTTTTAATTAGTCTTAAGAGAGTCTTAATGGCTGGATTTTAATTAGTCTTAAGAGTTTATTATCAGTCTTCTGACTCATCTAGTCTTCCCCAAAGCCCTCAACTCCACACTTGTGTGTGAAGAATGATGGGTTTAACAGGTCCCTGAAGTGCCTGGTTAAGAGTGCTGGTCAGATGAGAGCCTTCTGCCCACATTCAGTCTTTCATTATTGTATTAAACTTTCTATTTGGCCCTTTCAGAAAAATGTCCAGAGAACAGCTTGATACATTACAATCTCCACTACGCTGGCTTGCCCACCCACTGCTCTGAATATCTGTTCTAAAAAACAGACTATCCCAGTGGTTCTCAAACTTTCTGGAACTGCAAACCCCTCTTTATGCTTTCTTTTTTCTTCTTCTCTCTCCATTTATATTTCCCCTTTCTCTTCTTCCACTTCCCCTTCCATCTGTTTGTACTCCTGCTAGAAGTTTGCTACACACATCCATTTGAGAAATAGCACACTAACTCATTACCAGGGATCCTGGTTTTCTCTGATTTAAAAAAAAAAAAATGCTAATTCTCAGATAAAAAAAGGAACCCCAAATGCACATTTTCCCCTGATTAAAATGGAAAAATGTGGATTTTGGGTTACTTTTATCTGAAAATTGGGGATTTTTTATCAGAGAATTTAGATATAATTTAGATACTTTCGGTACACTAAATGGTGTTTCATTTTAATCATGGAAAAATGGATTTTGGGTTACTTTTTATAATTATAAAATTGGGGATTTTTTTTTTTTTAAATAAAAAAAAAAAAAACAGGATCCCTGCTCATTACCACTACTAGATCAGACACATCAGCCAGGACTCATTAGACCAGGCAACACAAACATACCAACAGCTACAATGGTATTCCATAAAATATATATTTTGGGGAGAGCAATTCTTTACAAGTTACATCATTTTCCCTAAGAAATTAGGGTAATCCTAAATGAAGAATGTACTCTAAGTACAGTTTCCAGGAGGAATTAAAAAAAAAAGAGCTGATAAGGCAGCTACAAGAGGAAAATCAGATATCTTCAAGGAAATCTTAATACCAATACCAAGAAATTATTGTAAAAGAGCAGGAAAAGGCCACATTGCAAAAGGCAGTGCAAGATTATCATAAATTTTTCCTGGATTCCCCATAAATTTGGCAGCTATGAGCAACTGAAGTGTACAATACAATAGGATTAGAGGAAAAATTAAAGTCAAATTGTATGCGACTTGTGTTTCACCTAAATCTGAGACAAGTATCATTTTCCCTGCCTTGGTGAGGACATGTAGACACACAATTGACCAGATAATTCTGCGAAGACCTTGTTCAAAAGGAGGGACCTCTCAGGAAAATTTGCAAGCAAAGCTATCTAAAGATTACATTAACATGCAGACTTTTTTTGAAAAAAATGTGGAAGATCTTCCTTCAACCTCTATCTAATCTTATTTCCTTTAAAACTTCCCCTCCTTTTGAATGACTTTAGGCAACATGATTTTCTACAGGAGCATTAATGCCATTAAGTGCCCCTTCACCACTCTAGACTCTATGCTTTGGAAGCCGACTTGTGCACATTATTGTGTCTGAAACTCCAAATTAATGACGTGTTTTTCAAGCTCCATTGTTGAAGAAGACATACCACCACCTTCTCACATCCCATAAGTATTGGATTTGCTTTCTTCACTGAAAAAGGTACAGAGATGGCATTAGGAATACAAAACGTTGTAGAAACCCTTTCCCTCTCCAGCCACCTTAAAAGGAAGGTAAGTATCTTTATCTCCATTTTAAAATCAGGGAAAACAAAAACAGGGAGGTGAAGTAACTTGTCCAAAAGCCTACCCAACAGGTCATGGACAAAACAAGGAACAGAAGCCCAATCTGACTTCCAGGATCCTAGCCCCAAGACAACTATGTGTATGAGTGTTCCAATTTGGAGTTCAATGGAAGTCTAACACATGCAAGTTTAAGGTGATCAAACGGATTTTACAAAAGCTTCAGGACCCAGCTCCCTTAAGCTCCTTTGAAAGGTGGCAACTTAAAAAGCAGGAGAATTATTCAGATCTCTCCAGCCCTCCCTGCAGTTACTCACAGAAGTCCAGTTTGCTGCACAGAACACCAAACTCTTCCATGCTATTTTTCCAACTATTCAGAAAAGGTTATATCCTTTCAGTAGCCCTTCAATTTTTATGGTCTTGGAAATGTCCGAGAGGCAAGGATTTTTTGTGGTGTCTTTTATTGGACCAACTGTATAGTTGGGAGAGCTGTTGGACAAGCTTGTGTGCACCAAGGGCCTTTGTCAGGTTCTGTGATGCCCAAAAAACTAGTCCAACACCTCTCAACTATACAGCTAGTCCAATAAAAGATATCACAAAAAGTTCTTCTGTGTTTTTTCCTCACAATTTAAAAACAAATGAATTCATAACATGCTTCTGACATATGGCACTGATGAATGCTTTTCAGTTCATTGCTACACCAACTCCTCTGCAAGGTTATTTTGCACCGAATACACTTGACATTTATGAGCCCAAAAGCTCAGTGCAACTGAAGCAGTGAGTTGCAGGAGTTTTCCAACAGAGCAGTTCTGTACACAAATATGCCAACATAGGAGAGAGTGTCAGTATACTGGGAACCTATCTGCGTTGCTGGTCTCCTACCCCTGTCTTGTTCTGCAAATTGTACTTTTGTTAGGTTTTAATTAAAAATCGGATCATTGCTGGTTGGTAACTTAAAAAATAGCTCTGTGTGGAACTAAATATAATCTTTTTGCTATATAGGAGGTGCTTGTTAACCTGGAGCCTATACCATATCTATTAACTTAAGGAACTATGCAGTTTTATATACAGTTTTATTCAGATTCTTCAATTTTCCATTTGTATTACTTGGTGAACAACATTTATTTACTAGGATTTTTTTAAGTGATGATTTGTGTCAAGCTGTATTTGAATGGAAAATAGAATGCAATAAAAATGAACCCAATAGTTTTTTTAAATTAAATAAAAACTACCTTACATGTGATGGTGACATACAAAATAAAATTTAATAAAAACAGGCGCTGCATTTAAACTCATTTATTAAAACACAGGAAGTATAAACTGCAGGTTAGTGGCTGGAACTGATGGTGACTAGAAACAATGTCCTTCTAGATTTTAGAACCAGTCTATCTAACCCTCACACCTTATTTTTATTCACAGATTGGAAGAGGAAAACATGTTTTCCTGCTTTTTCAACTCTCAGTTGGTTTCTTAACTGAATGAGCTTGTCATAGAACTACAGTAGTTGAATAAACTGAAGTGAAAGAAATAAGTCTCTGCACCTGGAGAAATGACTACTGCTGCCAAACCTGTCTTATCACTTAACACGCACTGACTCCAGATGTTTAGCCAGTAATTTGGCTTTCTTTAGAAACTTAGCAAACCACATACTTCCTGAATATTTTTAAATTATTGTAATTGGTTATAATGAATTGAAATCCTAGATTATGGCCTACATTTCAAACTGGTTTATTATTTAAAAGAAAAATAGATTGAAAGTGCGATTAAAAAACCTCAAGCACCACACTGATTATTTTCCATGCTGGATCTGACTAATTGATTTTAATTAGAATTTCACATTTTAAAAGGCACACACTAAAATCCCAATACAACTGTTCAGAAATAGGCAGTTACTGGAAACAGTAATATTCATGTTCAGTGAATCAGGATTGGTATAGATATCACCATTCTTACCTAGCTCAAGCCTACTAAACTGCAGATACATACTTTCTTCTAAAAACAATTTTGAAAATGAAATTTACTCAGACCACTCTGTCAAGAGCTAGAAAGTATAGGGTAGAACCCCTTCCATTCTGGTTCTCAGCCAGTCTATATAGTATGCCAACATGACCCAGATTATTTGATACTGGCATCAAAAACACACAAAGGTCTCCAAGGAGCATTCAGCTCTAGCCACAGGAGACATTTCATTATGGGCAATTCATCTGATAAAAGTTACAGGTTGAGAACACAGAATGGTATAGCTACTATCATTTTTTTTTTTTTTTTTTGGAGAGCACTCCACAGTTACAGTACAGCTACATCTCAGGCACTAAGTCCCTGGGTTTTCATCAGTCAATTGTATTTTTAACCCTAGATTATTCATTAGGGAAGGATTAGAGGTTTAGATGGCCTCAGGGGAAACAATCATCTACGTGAGAGAGACCGAGAGAAATTTCACAAGGATTCATAATTTAATTGCTGACATTTCTTCCCCCATCCATCCCACCAGTGTTAAGTATGCCTGCTGATTTCGTATTCACTTCATCTCCCTAGAATACTTGTATTAAAAGAATGTAATTCCTTAAAAAAAGAAAAGAAACACACTCCTCACACACATTATGCCACTGCTCTCTCTCACTAGGCTTCGAAAACATCAAGTGATTCAATATCACGTCTGTGTGGAGTTTGCCTTTCATTCATTTGATCCTGAGCCATCCTACTCCTCAACCTCCCCAGAACAGTTGCACACATGAAAGGAGCCAGACTGCCAGGCAGATAAAAGTTTTTTGTTTTCCATTGCTGGCAACAGCAATACGGATCTTTCCCCAAACCGTCTCGGAGCACTCACCTGTGAGGCTGGGAGTGTCCATCAGATTAAAGCTGGCATGTTCCGTGGCTTCCCTAATGTGAGTTGGCTACTGCCAAGCCAAGACTGGACTTTAACTTGTGGGTGAGCACAGTCAATCAAAAGTTTAACACCTGATAAAAGCACCAGAGGTTCCCAATTCCCCTCTTCACACCTCCATACTTCAAAAGAAAAAAGCCATAGACTGCTCATTCCAAATAAAGGTAACATCTGTGGAGGGTCTACAGCTGATTACTTCTGGGTAAGGAGTGAAACTACCCTCTTCCTGTCCTTTTAATTTAATGGAACTTCAAACACCTGGCAGTGGGGACAACAACACGAAGAATATTCCATTTCCAAATGCCAGGCTTCCCATTTCTTATTGCATTGTTTTGGTATTAAGTACTGTATATGGCAGCACAGACTTATAAAAATTAGTTGTGAAGAACTTTTCCTTTTACAGTCAAGTAGCTCCCATAAAGGGCTGGACACTGTAAAATAACAAATTGTAGGACGCAGCTAATGTCACAGTATTGTCTGGCCCCATTTGGAGTGAGGAGTTATTTCACTTACATAGCTGGCAAGATCTGACATGACAGATTTTAACATTAGGTTGTTTTTTGTGTATTAAAAAGTGTTATTTTTGCATTCTGTTAAAGCAATAAGAGACTACAGAAAGTAGAAAAATTCTTCCAAACACATGTACTACCATGAATGCCACTTTCATTTACATAGCACTTATCCTTCTCTAGATTTCAAAGGGCTAATCTACACCTAAAAGTTAAAGCAGGGTATGATTTTAAAGCATAAAGCATAGTTATTCCTGAATAACTCCAGTGTGGGTACTCTTATTCCACAATCAAAGTGCCTTCTATAGTTCAAACCATCTTGGTAATGGACTAGGCCAAATCAGAACAAGGCTTTCTTATTTCACAGTAAGATCATCCACACACGGTATTATTCAGGCCCTCCCCTACACATGCAGGTATTGGATCTAATGCATGATCTACCAAATTGCACACAATCACGTGCGTATGGCAGGAGGTGCAACTGTGGGATCATGCATCAGATCCAATCACGCTTTATTGCTGTCATAGCAGGAGCCCGGTCATGGACTCCCCCTGCATTGGCAAGCAGCAGGAACCCACAGCTGGGAACCCCTCTTTGCTGAGGGGGCTCCCAGGTGCAGGAATCACACAGCCGAGATTCAGAACCCCATCAGCTACAGGGTGTCTGGATCCCAGCTGCAAGTGAGGCACAGCCAGGACTAAGAGCCCCATTAGCTGCAAGACTCTTAGTCCCAGCTGTGGGCAATGCACAGCAGGGACCAAAATCCCATGTGGGCTCGAGGGCTTTATGCTCCCTCGAGCCTTGGGGATCATGTTAGCCACAATCCCCAGGGCTTGGGGGTTGTGCCCCTATGGCTGGGAACCCCATCAGCTGATGGGCTCCCAGCCATAAGGGAGACCCAGAATTTTTTTTTGCAATTGCTCAGTTGGTCTAATAAAAGGTATCATTTCTAAACCAAGAGTTCTAGATTTTTGCATTTCTTTTTGTCTCAGACCAACACTGCTACAAAATTCATCCCTCAAAAATGTATGCACTCTGCTCAACCAAAGGGGGCCTAGCCTCTCTCATATATAACAATACACTAAGGGCATTCAGCAAACTGTTGGTGCCCAAGGAACTACTTCTGTGGGACAGTTCCTACTCCAAGAGGCACTGGTCCCTTCCCACCTTCAGCAAAACAGCTGCCATTTCTTCCCTCCTCTTTAATCAGTAGAGGGTAAGGTGTCTGTTACCATCAGGTTCAAGGCCCCTTTGACCCAATTTTCTTCCCACTCACTCATTCCAATCCTTTTCAGGGGCAAGGTTACTTGCTCTGGCACCTTCACCCTCGACAGCATCCCATCCCCGCCTTCCCCTTTCTAACTGCTCAGTCAGAGATAAGTCTGCTGGCCTCCAACTCAGACACCAGAGGTGCAGGCACAGTAAAGCACACCCTGGGCAGCTTGCATAGGGAGTACCCTCTCCGTCCTTGATTCACATGAGCAGCAGGTCTTGTACCCATCCTAAATGACTCCCCTTGGACCTATCTATGGACACCAGAGTCTTATTTTATATTTAATTAATAGTAGAACAAGTACTTTTTCACAGTCCACTGCTACTCATGAGCCAGTGTAGCATTATAGATGAACTTACAGCCCCTCTGCATTCCCCAAAAGGGAGTTTAGCCCTTGCAGTATGAAACAACTAGCTCAATGAACAGACTGTGCAAGGCAGACTTAGGGCAAACAATCCCTCATCCATCTTACCCTTTGAGTAGCATGGTTGAGCATCTCTTGCCAGGCAGAGTCAAACTGACGTTTGTCATCCTCCAGCAACCTCTGCTCAGCAAGCGAAATGGTCTCCTTGGCGGCACGCAGCACTTCGGTAGCCCTCTGGAAATCTTGCGTTGCTTTCTGAGCTTCCAGTTGTGCCTAGACAAGAGACACTGCAGTCAAGCTTCAAGGAATATCTAGCATGACAGATTTTAAAGACATCTTGGCACAGACTATTAAGAGCGACACTCTGGTGCATTTATTTCCCAGCCTTTCGTTTGGCAGTGACACTCCACCCATTTCCTTGCCTGGGTCACTGCTGGTCAGCAAGCTGTTCACACCCAAACAGGGGCATCTGTAAAGCATTATCATGCTGTTCATTCCCAATAAACCTGAAATGCAAGGCATCAGAGCTTTGCGTAATAAGCATGTGGTTGACAGATGGAGGAATACTGTATGCACTAATTTTAATCAGCTAGAAACAAAAGAGACAGAAGGAAAAAAAACACTCATTATTTCTGCTCACCATAGCTTCTTGTGGTGTTATATTTCATAAGTAAGCACTGAAATCCACAACACTGCAAGCTCAGAGTTTAAGTCAGTACATAAACCAAGCTAAAGAACATTTTTGAGGTATTACGTTATCATTCAGCATAACACAGAGCTTTCTAGTGAGAAAGTTTACAAATTGCTACTCCACATTTCTCTTCCACCCTGTAAAAACAAGTGTATAGTCAGCAGCTCAAATCCCCAGTCCACAGATGGGAGGAGAGAAGAATGAAGCTAAACCAGCTGGTTCAAAAATGCACTAGGTTATGGGGCACTGAACAAGGCTTCAGTGGAAATGGATCTGGCCCAGTTTCCAATCCTGGGTCAGCTGTTCAAGCCCAAGGGATTCTCTTAACAACAGTGCTTGAAGTAATAGGACTTTAAGAGCTTCGATTAAATAACTGACCTAATAACAACCAGAACTCTAAATGCATGAGCAAGTACTGGCACAAAAAGCACTGCTCACATATGAGCCTTTGCAAGGCAATTTATAATACTTTAATATTACTGAATTCATAATGTGGTAATGAAAGTCCAAATCAGAAGCAACTTATCACAAAAGACATTTATCATCTGGGTTTTCATGCTCCAGGGCAGCACACCTAGAAATCCACAGAGATGGAGCCCAATGAAAATATTTGAATTTCATCCCAAAATATCTGATGACTCAGGAGATGTTCAGATTCAGGATTTTAGTTTGGGACCCTTATTTTCACTGACTGAACAGTGACACTAAATGCCAATTGTCAACAAAACCAAACAAAAAAGAGGTACTGGATGACCCGGCAACCAATTAAAAAAAGGCTGTCAGTACCATTGCATATTTCTATAGCATCCAGTTAACAGATGAAAGGGATTACAAAGTCTACATATAAACGCACAGGCTGCTAAATAATTTAGTACCAATGATTTGTGTTCAAGGTTGCTGAGAGACAGCAGGTTTTAAGATCAACAGATAGATAAGAAATTAAAGGTACTGAACATTTTCATATTTTTAATGGAGCACTCATTTTTATGACCACCACTGAATCATTTCACCTAGCAGAGGTTATGATTTTAAGGTTTCCCAATTCAGTTTTTTTTACTTCTTTCTGACCAGCTTCATTACCAGAACACCTTTTTCCCCCTAAGCAATGAACATCCATTTACTACATAACAGTACAACCCTTTTTAAGGTAACAAACCCAAGATGAGTTATGTCATTTAACAGGAAGTCACACACTTTCCTACTATATAGTAAGTATTTCCAACTCTTTTGCCTGGAAGAGCTTTCAAATACCAGAAAATGCATTAGATGTACTTAATATTCAGTACCACTTCCATGTTTTTTTTTAATGAAATTATCAGATGCAAGAGTAAAATGTCTGCATTGACTAGATATAATAGAACAACCAGAAAAACATCTTTGAAAAGCATGGCATGGAGCAAGGTGTTTGATCCTAACAGAATGCAAAGGATTCTGGGACATGGGACACACAGATTTTTGCTGCATGATATCCTATAAAGGAAATCATGGGTAGGTGTTGCAGACACAAAAGATGGTCACTTGGGAAAAGACTAAAATTTCAGCTATAGAATATGAAATAAATGGAACAATGAGAATATTCTGAGACATCTGTTTGCAGCGTGTACTCAACACCAGATGCATCAAGCACCTTCACTATTTAAACATGGGTCAGGAATAGACAACTTTGCAGGGCAGAATAACCCATGCCCGGTCAGAGGCAACAGGACGGGCAGGCACTAGGAGCTGGCCACCGTCAGCATTTGTCCCCACCGGAGAACAACCACAGTCAGTGGTTGTCCTGGCTGCGGTGCGCAAAAAGTGCCCTCAGCCAACGCTCCACGCTGCTGAATCCTGCCAAAGCCCCGCATCCAGAAGCCAGATCCAGTGGTTCTGCAGGCTGTAGGTTGCTGACTTCTGACATGGATGATTACAGAAGCAAAGTATCCTTAGAGCAAAAAATATTACCCAATTTAAAAAAGAGTTTCTCAAAGTAGTAAAATACTGTTTCCCTCCCAATCTTCAAAAAATTCTGCAAGATGTTTAGATTTCCTCCCCTTTATCACACATCAAAAATATATTTCAGCCTACAGCTACTCTGGAGGAATATATTTGTGCTGGGAGTTCCTCCCTCCCTTACCCCGGGAAAAATCTAGAAACAATCACATCTTCAGCCACAACAATACCATATTATTATTTTTTCCAGCTTGGCTAGCTGCCCTCTTGCAGGCACCTGCTCTCATGCTGGTGTCCAGAAAAGAAAGGAGCCTGAGGTAAATAAAAGGAAGAGACTTCCAGAAGTCAGGAAAGCAACAACAAGCCTTTGTGAAAAGCGCCATCCGCTGCCCAAATGTTTCTACTTAGAGGATATTGTGTAGTGTGCTTGGCTGTGTCTGGCCGCACTGCCACACAAGACTGCTCTACAAGCTCCTTCACCAGTCCCTGCAAGTCAGTGATGGGTAACACTGCCTCCCCAAATGATGCACATCTAATCAGGCAGCTGCTGCTCAGGGCCACATTGCTCTGCCTCCCAGTCCTCCTGCCCTGACTTCTCCAGCCCCAACAACCTTGCAGCCAGTGGTAACATATTCCTCCTTCCCATCCATAACAGTCTATTCCAAGAAGTGGCAGTAGGCACTGACCTGACTGCAACCACAAACTTTTATCCACTCTCTAACACCAAGTCTGAATTTTCCAAACTCAGGTTCATTATTCCTGACCTCTGTTCTTCAGAAATTCTTACTCCACGTTTTTTTTTCCTTTTCCAGGTGCTCCTCCTCCTTGTGTGTTAAAGATCGGTGTGCTGCACTCCCTTCCTCTTTGCCAATATACTCCCAAATTAAAATACATCCCCCAAATAGTTCTGCTGGAGGATGCAGCTACTAGTCCAGATACAACCCCCCCTCCCCCCCTTGACAAGTGACTGCTCTGCCATTTCAGCCAACACCCCCCACCAAGTATCACAAGAGACATCTCTTCCAGTTAACGCACGATAATGACCTTGCAGCAACTCCACACCTAGACAGAGTGAATATATTAAAATTAAGCCAGCACACTCGTTCCTTTTTCCCTTTCCTTCTATCTACATTCCCTTCTTTGTTTTAGCCAACCAATATTCATTTATACAGAGCCACAGTGCAGCACAACTACAGCATTCCTTCAAGGTTAACAGACAGCTAAGAATACATTGTGACAGCTACTCCACTAAGCATCTGATCTCCAACTACATGTAGGGAATGAGTGGCAGGACTTGAGTTGCCAAGAGACAGCATAGAAAGTGCTCCGTCTGTGCCAAGTCTGCTCTCACTGGCTAGGGACAGACATTTGAAAAGCCGGAGCCTGAATTGATTCAATTTTTGCAGGTTAGTCTAACCTCTGTAGATTGAAGCAACTTGTAAATGGACAGACATCCACTTTTGATTCTGGAAAGGCAGACACATGCCTGTAGTGGCTCAAGCCAGAAGCCAGGGGGGTGCTAGAGTGAGTCCTTGGCTGCAGAGAAGCTATGCTGGGGTGGCCAGGCCTGGGCAAGCCCAAGTATGATTGGGAATGGGTTTAAGCCCCCACATTGGCCTGCAGGGACCCCCACCCCCTGCCTCTCTCAGTGGTAGCAGCAGAGCGAACTATCATAGACAGCAAAGGTGAGGCACCTGTCACCTGCTTGCAGCAGCACCGGCACTTGGAGTGGGCTGCTGCAGATAAGTCACTGCCTATGCCCCTGGGCCATTGGGCTGGGCCAGACCGGGCTGCCACAATCCATTGCCTCTCCCTGCCACTGCCCACAACCATGACCCACAGCAGCCCTCCCCAAGCACCCAGGGCCACTGCGAGCAGGCAGTGGGTGACAGGTGCCTGACCTCTGCCCAGCTCTCAGCTTTGGACCCCAGCCAGGCTGCATCTGGCACAGGGGATGGGAAGCCCACAGTGGGGACTGTTTCCCACCCCCCACTCCCTCAGCCAGTCCACCAGCTAAGCAGGAGATGTGGGGGGAACAAACCGCCTACTCCGTGCCCGGTGGAGGGGGGAAGCCAGCAGTGGGGGCTTTACCCCCCACCCCCACCCCAGCTGGAAGCTGGGTCTATTCCACAACAGAGGAAGGGGTGACAGGGGAATCTGACCCTTATCTGACACCTTAGTCAGGAGGGACATGTGCCCCCCCAGCAACCAGGGGGGTCCCCACATGGCCAATCTCGCCAACCAAGGTGGGGAAGTAGCCACAGCATTTCATCCAGCATTCCCACTCCCCAGCTGGCGCTCCTGCCTGCCCGTTGCCTAAGTGGGGAGCGTGGCCTGTCAGGGGGTGGACCAGCACTCTCAGGGGGTACACGTGTACCCCCTACACATCATCACTGCATTTTGTTACAGGTTTAAACCAGTTCCTGACCACTTAAACCGGTTTATGTGCAACTGCTATCGCTAGCCACTGCCACAGGTTCTCTCCTCCTTGGCCAACTTTACTCATAAGAGGACTAAATGTGCAAACCGTTACACAAAGTAACCGACTTCTCATTTAAAAGGTATCAACGTTACCTGTACTCACAAGAATGTGCAGGACATAGTACATATAATTTTGCAACT